AGCAGACAGGAAGTGTGAGTAAATGTAACATAGATTATGAGTAAATGTACCATAGATTGTTGTACATGGAAATAATGGTAGTAACAAGAAATTCTTGATACTGTAGGATTCACAGTTTGTCTGCTTATGCTGGTTTGTGATGACAACTACCGTGTTTCCCTGAAAGTAAGACATCACCCGAAAATAAGACCTACTTACAGTTTTGACTCTCACTGAAATATAAGGCATCCCCCTGAAAATAAGACCTCCCCGATAATAAGGCACCCCATACCCGTAACTCTGGACTCTGGACTGTAGTGGCGGGCGCCGCCCTGGAGCTCACTGTTGGCCACAGCATAGCCAGAGCAGACAGGAAGTGCGAGGTCTCTTTTAATCAGAGAGCCCGCCCCCACCAGGACAAGCTGCCCCCTGCTGCTCGCTCTGCCCTGACTAGTCTGGCTGACTCACAATTAGACAGTGAATCGCGCGGGACAGGAGTCGGGCACATTGTGTGGACACACAGGGGTGACTGAGGTAGGGGGGAAATGTCTGATAAAGGGGTGGGGGGGTGTCTGGTGAAGGTGTCCACTGGCACGGGTGGGGGGAGGGGGAATCACTTAAAATGGCACTGGGGTGTCACTTAAAATGACACAGGAGGATCAGAAGGGGTTACAAAATGGTAATCCCCTCCTCTGATTCTCTTGTGTCATTTTGATTCCCCCTCTCATCCTCCTGTGTCATTTTAAGAGATTCCCCTCCCCTCACCCTGTTACCCCAGTGTCATTTTTTTTTTACCCCTAGACATGAGCACAAAAAGAAAAAGCTACTCCATGGAGTACAAGAAAGGAATCGTGGAAGACTCTTGGGGCCAAAATCTTACTGCTTTCTGCAAAGAGAAGATGTTGAGCATCTGATTGGTCTGAAAATGGCGAGCAGAGTATGGTAACCTCATTGAACAAGTGGACAAGGGAAATGCTAAAAAGCGCAAGTGTGGATCAGGTCGGCAACCATTATTTTCCGAGCTGGAAGACCTGATCTGTGAATGGGTTGTTGACAGGAGAGCAAAGACTTTGGTTGTGAATATGGGGCTCAGATTCAAGAATGTGCCCTTGCAATGGCACCACAGTTAGACATAGCCCCCGAAGACTTCAAACCATCACAACACTGGCTGGATAATTTCTTTCAGCGAAGTGAACTGTTTTAGGAAGATCCACAGCATTGTTTAGGCTGGAAGATGCTCAAGTTATTAAGCGAGGACTTGCATTCAAATCCTTTATTGATGATACTGACTAATCTAAATACAGTCTTTCCAACATGATTGCTATGGATGAAACTGCAGTGTTTATGAGCCAATCATCTCAAATAACAGTTGAACAGCAGGGTGCCTCCTCAGTGTACATTCCCTCCACTGCTTACGAAAGTGCACGTTTCCTATATTTTGGCGATTTGTCTGCATAACACTAAAATCCCACCTTTAATCATTTCTAAGGGCAAGAAGGAAAAGATTAAATGTGTTTTGGGCATTTTATGCTTGAAACTGAAAAAGCCTGGGCCACACAAGCAGTTATAAGGAAGTGGGTCTATTTAATGCTGCCGCTTGTTATGCCAGGGAGCCAAAGAGGTCTGCTAGTCTGGGATGCAGCCAGCACTCAACTGCGCTAAAGACATGAAGACATTTCTTCACGAAAGAAAAATAGATAAAATAATGATTCCCGCAGGAATGATGGCCTATCTCCAGACTCTTGATACTGCAGTAAACAAGCCATTCAAGGACAATTTATGCATGGATATTAATGACTACATTGAAAATAGAATAGAGAGAAATCAGCGTGGAAACTTTGTGAAACTTAAACTGCAAGAGGTTGTGACTTGTGTGAAGAATTCATGGGAGAAACTTACTGACAGTTGCATTGCAAATGCACTACGAGCAGGCCTCCTTGACAAGAAGTACTCATTTAAGGACAGTGCTATTGCTAAACATGAGAGATTTTGTCCACTGATTCTGAAAGAAATGGAGTCACAAGAAATTCACCAGGAAATTCAGGGTTTGAATTGTTATGATGATGTTCCAGAAGATGATGACATGACTTTCATTGAATAAATGAGTTAATGTACTATAGATTGTTGTACATGGAAATAATGGTAGTAACAAGAAATTCTTGATACTGTAAGATTCAGTTTGTCTGGTTATACTGGTTTGTGATGACAACTACTACCGTGTACCATATACAGGTAATAAATTTCCTTTTTTGTTGTTCAACAATAAATGTGTACCATATTCTTCTTAATGGAAAAATAAGACATCTCCTGAAAATAAGACCTAGCGCATCTTTGGGAGCAAAAGTTAATATAAGACGCTGTCTTATTTTCGGGGAAACAGGGTAACTGTGTAGAGTTTGAATCCACTATTTCACAAGTTCATTCAATTTGTTGAGCATCGAAAGTAGACCAGCCATGTTCTAGAAGAGACAAAAAAGAAATGTTACAACATATATCTGATATTGAGCTCTTTACATCATCATAATAAGTGGAATCTATACTGACCATGCTGATCAGGAAGGAGCCCTGGTGACATACTGGGTAATACAGTGTCAGCAGTTGAAACTTTTTGCTCCTGTAAGAGTTACAGCCATGGAAACCCACGGGCAGTTCTGCTTCATTCTGTAGGGTCAATACGAGTCGGAATTGGCACAGTGGCAATGAGCTTTTTGAGTTATGCCGATCCGGATAGTAATATAAGGCCCTGGACAGAGAAAAGAGAAAAATAGAACAAAACACAAAATCATGAAAAGACAAAGCATACTCGTGTGCTAGAGACTGGTGTAACCCTCCCAGGACTGTGGTCCTTACATACCCTTTAAATCTGGAACTGAACCTATCTCTGGAGATCAACTTTTAACTAAATAATAGACAGGCCTGGAAAGTGAATAATAGCAGAGAAGAATGTACTACTCAGGACAGCCAACCGTGTGAGACCCAAAATCACAGCATTTGCCTCCAAACAAGACTCAAAAGACAGGACGGGGCAGAGAAGAAAGGGAAATGGAAACAGGGAAGCCAGCGAGGTAGTGGGAAGAGTGTTGTTATATTGAGGGAATTGCAACCAATACCACAGAACAAAATGTGTATGAATTGTTGAATCAAAAGTAATCTGTACTAAAACAGAAAAAATAAAAAGATGACATACATGTCGCTGCTTCTCATGCTTCTCTTGGTCTGTCATTGAATCTGCCGTCTTGTATTCTCATCTTTGGTTTACTTCAGCACTCTCGACCATGGGCCGGTAAACATGCCATGACGTCTGTTTCTGTGGATAGAATTTTGTAGGAACACAGCCATAAAGGGGGAAAAGTGAACATTGATTGAGGATATTAACAATATTTCAGCATTTCATTGGAATTGACAGAAGGACCGTGTTCTACCATATCTGTTAAAGTTAAACATTAAGTATAAATGTAGATAATAAAATTCCTCCACCTCATTTAAAGTATGCTTTGCTCCCTTTACTCACCTATGGAGTTTTTGTTTGTTTGTTTCTAAGAAAACTTATTATAACCATGAAATTTGTGATACATAAGGTAGGCTAGCTATAAGAAATATTTTAATTAGTCTGGAACTAGCTAATCTTCCTTTATGAGCTGAGGTTTCAAGATATTATAACAAATGGTAAAGGGTTGATACTTTTTTCCTCATCAAAAATTTGCTTAAGTATTTTACACAGGAATGTTTAAAATCATGAGAATCTGAATTATCTTTTTCAAAAAAATTTTGTAGTTTTTCTTTTGAGAACAATACATTTTTGTTTATTTTATTGGCAAGCTTCAAATTTAGTTTTCAATCTGAACTTACTTAATCACATCTCCCAACAGATAGCAGCAAAGAAGTGATTAAGTCTGAGAGAAATTTGACAAATTATGGAAAGAGGGTTTTTTGTTGTTTTGTTTTTAATATTTGGAATAATACTCCTTTCAGAAAATGTACCTTTTAAATGTCACTACAGATTGGGAATTGCTAATTACAAAATACTAATTTTTTTACTGCTCTAATCACTGTAAATAATATTTCCTGTATGCCTATGTCACTTGGAGCCCATTTAGGATGCTATGAGAACTTTGATAGTAGGTTTTAAATGTTCCTCTTAGTTTGGACAAGCTTTATCCTGTTCTCTTGTCTCGCTGTCACCCACAGTTGCTATCACTGCCGGGAGCCTAGCGCTGGGATTCTGAGACTTTTATACAATCCTTTCATTGTCCGAGGTACTGCAGATGTGTTGGAATGAGTTAATATCTGTTAGAGATAATCTGTGGTTTTTCAAGGCCTATCCTGTTGTTGGCCTTGGCTTTATTTGTTATTCACAGTGGCTGTTTCTGAGTTGACATTGATGTAAGTTCATTGACTCTGCAAATGTTTACTAATCTTTGACTTTCTGAAGGGATTGATTTGTGTGATTGAATATGTACCATGAGATTCATAGACTATGATAATTACTGCTTCACTCCCACCATCAGTGAGATAAGATTTTTTATTCATGAGCTGGACAGGATATTGTATAGTTCAATACTAAATGCAAATACTATGGGAGGTGTGCTTGTTTTCAAAGAATACATACTTTCCAGTATGAAGCCTTGAAATCCCTTTAAAAGTGTGAAAACAGTCTTGGCAGATAGTGTTTTCTGTGTGTATTTTATATTTGAAATCTTAGAATGTCTCTGCTAAGTGATTGAAAATGGTTAATCCATTTGCTAATGCTGCATCTGTTCTGTTACTAGCACTTATAACCCCGCTGAAAAGACCTTTCTGATTTTTACTTTCTCCTTTCAGCCTGTTAAATACACCTGACTAATTGTTATTTTCCTGTAATATTACTAAAAGCTCTTGAGTTCTTACTGCCCAGAGAAGACATTTTTAAGTAAATAAATAATGGAAATGGAATGAAGATTTTTTAAAAAATATTTTGTCTGTAAAGACTCATTTTAAAAATAACAGTCCATTCCTTTAATACGATTTTCTTTTTCTAATAGATAACTGCCTACAATAGGCGCACTTTTGAGACGGCAAGACATAATTTGATCATTAATGTAATGTCAGCAGAAGGTACGTGTGGAAAAGATATGTTGATTGTTTCCTTGTTGATTGATCTACAAAAGCCTATTTCCTGATCCTTTTAAATTAAAAATAGTTAAGGATTTCAAGAGCCACATACTTAAAATGATAGATCAAATAGCAAATTTCTGGAGAAAAGTTAAGCAAAATTGCGTTTTTTAAGATAAGCTGTGGTGGTTAAGAGTCCAGGAGAGGGAGCCCAGCAGATGGGCCACTTCTCTAAGCTGTGGTTTTCTCATCTGTAAAATGCTGCTTAGTGTAGCACTTCTTTCATAGAGTCTATGGTGGAAATTAGCACGGGTTAAGGTTTAAAATGTGCTCATCACAAACCCAGCAAAGAATACACACTCAATAATTATTAGCTATTTTTATTAATGTGCTTTAAAATGGCTATGGGTAGTAGTTCAATCATATAGCAAAGGTAATAGAGTTATTGATATAAAGAAATAAAAACTGTCATTTGGGCCACTTTCCTTCCCAGTACTTAAGATGTACTAGCTAGAAGCAGCCAGCAATTTAGATTTACATAGGCTCAACCTGAAATTTATTTGCTAAGGGCTTTACAAGTGTTGAGACAAAGAAAATATTCTGAGTATTACATTGCAAACATTTCTGTCATATTTCAGTATTTGACTGGGAAAATGCATACCACTACAAACTTGGTGGTTAAAATATAGCAATCAAATAATAGTTCTCTGTTCAACAGGTAGCATTTGTAAGGGTGTGAAGAGAAGAACTGATACAGAATTTGTTCACCCTGAAAATAGAAGAACCATGGTGTTTCCTTGATAGTGGGGTTCTTCTTCTATTTACTGGCTTAATTAAAACACAATGAAAAATAATTGAGGAAACACAAAATTTTTTTCTGAAGCTACTATTTTGGAATTCATGGTAATTCAAAGCTGGCTTAAAACTGCTTCATATGATATGAAACAGTGTTTTATGTAAAATGTATCATAATATATATATATATATACTGAACATACTTGGAGAGATTGAAAACTTTGAACCTACTTAAGGGTCCTGGCGGCTCTCTTGGTCTAGCATTGGACGGTGGACAGCAAGTTCAGTGGTTCAAGCCTACCAGCTGTTTTAAGGAAGGAAGATAAACAAGTGACGTTTTTGGTTTTGTTGTTTTTCTTTGCTTCCCTCCTCCCACCCTCCACAAGGTATTTTGGTAGATATTCACATTTGGATTAGGGGGATTTTGGTTTTTACCGTAATTATAATAGAATGCTTGCATTCAGTCTAACTGCCCCTACAGAATTGGAATATTCTTACGAACAGAATCATTAAAGAGTACCCTTCCTCCTGGGGAATTTGTCAGTATGGTTTCTTACATTGTGTGTGGACTCCTGGATCTCACCATTATACTCTCCGAGGGACTGGCACGTCCTGAAGCCCTGCAGATGGGAGGGCAGCCCTGGTCTACAGTGTGAACACCCTTCTTCTCAAGTCTGGTCTCAAACCTGGAGATAGTCACAGACATTTTAGTAAGTGCCATCGTTGAAATAATGGAGAATCAGGACCAGATATATACTGATGGAAGACTGTTAGACAAGTCTAAGTTGAAGTAAGCTTTAAGAGCTGTTGATCGAAATCAAAGAGCGCTGATGGCTCACTGATGGAGCATTCAGTTGGTGCTGTGCTTGTGAGGGAAGACGAGGCGGATAGGTTTGGGGTCCTCCACCTCTTCCTCACTCAGATCTGCTCTGCTGCCTGAAACAATTAAAAAAACCCTGAACTGTTCCACCTAGTCCTTGCTGGTCTGGATACCACCTCTATGGGCAAGCACATGATGGGACAGAATCGTGGAGGGTAGCCTACACTTGTGCCATTTTCTGTCGGATAAGATTTGGGGAAAGGAGCAACAACAGGTGGATATCAGGATAATCGTACTGAGACACACTACCTCGCCGTCTCCTGTTCCGGTGGGACGTTACTCATGTAGAATCACACCATGGAGCTGAGGGAAAGGCTGCGGAGTGATTCTCTAGATTGGGCTTCAGTGCCTCGGAGGCTTGCCATTTATCTATTGGCCTACTGTTCTCTTGGCCTCTGTGATGTCCAAATATAGCAGGCATGGGATTTCCCCAAAGTTAGAAAGCTGTTGTGACTCATCTCTTGGCCGCCTGGCAGCAGCTCTTGGCTGCATAGCTGGCAGGCAGCTGTGCAGGCCAGAGTCTCAGAGGGGAGTGGCACAAGGGAGAGTTTGCATGTCTTAAGGGAGCCACCACACTGGGTCACGTGGATCAGAAAAAGGCAAATGACCATTTTCCCGAAAGGAGCAATGAGAACAACAACAAAAAGTTGTACAAACTTTTTTGAAAACTGGTTGTAAACACACTGAATAGATGATAGAGCTTCAGGTATACTAAAAAACTATAATCATTATGATTTATAGAGATCTCATTTCTTGCAAGGAAACTTCTCTTCATGACAAAGTTCTGCATAACTATTTCTAGTATGAGGGGAAAATGTAGCCTGATTAAGTTACTATTTATCTGCCTAAAAATTCTTTTAATCTGTATGAAACAGAGTAAATATATCATATTTCAGAAGACTTCAGGTGGTGTGTATATGCATCAAGCAAATTTAGCAAAACCATAAGCGGAAAAAGCAACAGTATTGGAGAGGGTAAAGACCCTTCCACGGTTAGGACAGGAAGAACTAATCTATAGTAAGAAAAGACAACATTCAGAAAACTTTCTTGAAGCTTTGAAAATCCTCTTTAATTTTACCTTTGTCTCTGACTGCCCTTTACTTAGCAAAATGGCTTCATGAGAAATGATGCCATCAAATTTTCTGTTAATTATGTATTACATTTTCACTCAATTACTAAACACAAGTGAAATATGTTATAGATACATTTGTTGAAATAAATCAGAGAATGTACATGATCTAATTATTGCTGGTAGTTGTAAATCTTTTTACAGTCCAAATATATTTCCTTTTCCTTTTAAAGAGACATTTCAGGTGATCAAACTATTCCTATTACTATCATCAGAGCTAAAACTTAATATTTAACAAGTTCTCTCTATATATTAGGAATTCTCTTGACTGCTTTACGTTCTCCTTTACGTGCACTATCTCCTTTAGCATAGATAAAAATCATGTGAGGTAAATTCAAATTATGATAAATTCCTGGGTCTCTCTGAAGCTCAGCTTTCTCATCTGAAAGTACAGAGAGCAGTACTAGTACCTGTTCACCCTTTGTGAGGATTGAAGAGGATGATTCTTTTAAGTCCTTCAGGTAGCCTCATAGTAAATACACAAAAAATATATATTAGCAGAGGAGTTTTAAAAATAATTTATGAACTACTTAGAGTGTTAGCTATCTTAAAATACTAAAAATATTGCAAAATAAAAGAAAGCTAAATTTTCCTTCATGAGAAACCCAGGATACATGAAACACTGACTCTAAATTAAAGAATAACATTTGAGAAACTGAAAAGTTTTTATATTTGTTTATTAGAATTTCTTATTTGGAAAGTCTGCATTTGACGGTTGGTTTAAAGGATTAATTGGTATTTAGAGGGAGCTTTCGATGAGACGTTAGGGAAGGTAAAAGACAAAGCAACATTTTAGCAATATGATACGTTGCATTAAAATGATTTTCCCTAAAATAGTTCATTATATGGTCATCAGAATTTCCATGATTTTGGAATTGTTATTAAAAACATAATCTGTATTTATATTAGAGAAGGTCAAGTATTTGTGTGCTGCCAAAACATCAATAATATACTACTAAAAATATATTTCAAATCATATGTAAACAACTCAAAGCAAGTATAAGTATTTTGTAATATCATCTCTTTTTGGAAAGGATGTTTCCTATTCCTCCTCCTCCTCTGATAAGATAGATATAACACCACTAGGTTTGTAATAATTAAGTGAGGTAGCATACTTGGAAGAGATGTGTCAATTCTAAGGCACTACAAATACAACGTGTTGTTTCTACCATGTGTAGTTCTTCAAATCCTCCTGCCAGCTGGGCAGATTGCAGGTGTCAGAAGGCAGGGAGGCACCTGGCAGGCTAATCCACACTGAGTCTGAGGTCGCGAGGTGGTTTGTTTGGGTTTTCCTTCTATCTTTCTTTTTTCCTCCCGTGGCCACGTCCGATGATTGTAACTTGAACAGTTATCTGTTAGATTTGATTATATTGTAGGGAAAGTTCTGTGTCTAATGTATGCAGTGTTTTCAATAGGTCTCTCCATTCAGAGAAAGCCTTTAAAAACCAGTATTAATGGTGTTCCTCATGCCAAGATTAGGACAGAAGACAGAATTGAATAAATCTCAAATTGTTCTTTGGCTGATTTTTTAAAAAAATCTACCTCCTTTAAGATACACATATCTGTTTTCATCGAAATTAGATTTCCCGTTACCATACCAAGCAGAATTCTTCATTAAAAATATGAATGTAGAAGAAATGCTGGCCAGTGAGGTGCTTGGAGACTTTCTTGGGGCCGTGAAAAATGTGTGGCAGCCGGAGCATCTCAATGCCATAAACATCACGTCGGCTCTGGACAGAGGCGGCAGGGTTCCGCTTCCCATTAATGACATGAAGGAGGGGTAAGCAGACCTTTATCTTGTTTCCTTAAATATGGATTTTTAAAATATGGTGATCTTATCAAACTTATTATAGATGGAAGATGGCCTGTTGCATTTTTCTTTTTAATAAGAAACAGGTAGTCTCAAGATACAGATATACTAGCAATTTTCTATATTGAAAAGAAGGTTATGCTAACGGTTCTTTATATCTCACACTCCAGCTCCTGGGAATCTAATTGTAGATGAGGATCAGCCTCATAAATTACAACACTAAGTCCTTTGTACCTTCCATAGAGACACTGATTATGTGGGGCCCTCACTTTCAAAGGAAATTGATTCCCCAGTTATCTGCTACAGAAGGACATGCAGACTGGTGTAACTTTATTCTAGGAAACTATTTCTTCGCCTTTAACATTCTTTCCAGCATGTGTCAGGGACTGATGGCTGGGGTGGATTTGAAACCCATTCCTGTGAGCCTAGAACCTAAAGCCTGGCCCTGTCACTCACAGGCTGGGTGACTTTGGGCAAATCACTGGACAGCTCTGTGCCTCAACTTTGGTGTGCTGCCATGGGACTTATATTCTCTCACAGCATGGTTACCAAGAAGGATATGTGAAAGGGGTCTGCTGATTCTAAAACAGATTCTATTACAAATAGGAGGTATGGCTGAACCCCCATAGAAGTCCAGTGGAGGCAGTGGTGGAATTGCCTCTTGCCTCCCATGAGAAAGAACAGAGTTCGGTTCATGACCAGTGCACCTCAAGGCATCCACCGTCCATCCACCAGTATAGGTGGGTGCTGCTATGATGCTCAGCAGGCTTCAGGAGGTTCTGGGGAAAGACAGATGAGGAAGAAAGGCCTGTTAATCTACTTTTGAAAAATCAGCCAGTGAAAACTGTGTCGCAGTGGCTGAGTTCCCTTGTAGATGATGCTGACATGAATTGGGGCCTCGCCCGTCTGCAGCTAACAACAGCAGAGATCTGGAAGCACTCCTTCTACACCTGGGTACATTGAAAGGGTGGAGGGATCAAAGCTAGTGTCCACTTAACACCTTGCTTTCTAATCTGTAGGTTGAGATAGATGGCTCAATCGCTTCTCGGCCTTTTGGCTAAGATCAAGTGTGGAGATAGATGGGTCTTTGGTTTTTATTATTATTATCATTTGCCAATCCTTTAAAAGTATAGGCTGTGGAGTAAATCACATTGTGCATGGTTTAACCTTCTTTCTCTCCCTCCTTCATCCATATTCCTGGGAGTGCTTTTCTTCGGGTGACAGAAGAGTTAAACTCTGGGCAGCTTTCAAGGGAAACTTGGTTGGAAATAAAGGACAAGATCCGAGAGAGATGTAGATGAAATCTAAAGCAGTAGGCAAATGGGGGATAAGGGAAAAGCTGTGGGCTGTAAAATCCAAATTAGAAATTTCAGAATTAAATTGTATCTTTTGCGTTACATAGCAGTGGGTTTTGGAGTCAGGCAAGCACACATAGAAATGCTTTGAGGAAAATAGTTGCTTTGTCTCTTGTCTGTCTGCTTGTTGGCTTTTTTAATTTAAAAACATAATTCTAATCATTCAAAGCCAGTCCCGTCCAGGTAATTCCGACTTATCTCATGGAATCCCTGTGTGTATCTGAGTAGAACTGTGCTCCATAGGGTTTTCCATGACCGGTTTGTTTGTTTTCCAAAGTAGATTGCCAAGACGTTTCGGAAGTGCTTCTGCGCAGACTTGAACCTCCAACTATTTTCTTTTTTTTTTTTTAACATTTTATTAGGGGCTCATACAACTCTTATCACAATCCATACACACATCAATTGTGTAAAGCGCATTTGTACATCATTCTCAAAACATTTTCTCTCCACTTAAACCCCCGACATTAGGTCCTCATTTTCTATTAGAAGCCATTCACATAGTCATTACTCAGGGACTCTGCTTATGTTTTCACTTCATCTTTTTTTTTCCTTAATGTTTTTTTTTTCTTGCTACTGAGCAATAAAGCAAAACCATGACAAGAACAGAACAAGAGTATCTCCCTTGGAAACATTTTCCGAATATGGAACCTTTTCAGTGGTTTTCTCAAGGTACTGTGTTCCTTGGTGATTGAAAACACAACCAAAAGGTGTTGGAAGATGGAACACGAAGACCAGACACGGGTAGGGTTTTCTCGGGCTCTGCTTCCTTTTCCACACAGGACTGCAAGACCACCTACAGAGGTGCTTGTTGAACCCGAGCAAAACTAGATGAGACTAGAGAACTCTGAACCACACTCTGACCTAAAGCCGTTTCCTAACCCTGACTAGCCTGAGAATTGTCCGGAAAGCTTCATTTAAAAACATAGATTAGTTCTTGGCCTCTGGCTCCCCTAGAGACTATAATTGCTTTACCTCCAAGGCTGGGCCTGAGCATGTGACTCTAAATTAAGAACAGCATTTTTGTTTCACAAGTACTTGTTAGAGAATCCAGTCATTAACTGATTGACTCCCAGCACCTGCTAAGGGCAGCACATGCTGTCAGATATTTTGGGGGAGTTGGTCTGGTGGCATTTCTTTGGCCCATGTTGTCTCAGATCCCTTCCCAACTTGAAATGCTTTCCATGAGTTTTAATTTAATGTTAAGCCTTAACCTTTACAAAGTATTCATATGAGAAGTCTTTTAAAATAGCATTTCTGTAAATTGTACCCACTGCCAATTCTATTACTTCAGTGTCCCTATACAAGCACCAGTGAAATAAGATTCTGCTTGGTAGAAGGAAAGTTTGTCACTGGGAGTGGTTTCGCATACTTTTTTAGATAGTTTATAGTGCCATGGTAGCAAAACAGTTTTTTAACCTTGTTGCCTTAAATTTAGAAACTAATCCATTGCTAAACTCATCTCTGGTGCCTGCCTTCCTTTTGATGTCTGGAGATCATAGTTTTTAAATGCTCCTGTGACTGTATTTTCTCTTGAAAATATCATGGGCTACAGATTTTAAAAAAACGAAAGAATAAGACATAAAGAGGTATGGTCAGAGATAGCAAAGTAATTAAGGGCCTTGCTTTTCTAAAGTTGTCATTAAAAATATATATCCATGATAATTTGGAAAAGGATACTAGTAATAGTTATATAACAAAATATAATCAATGCCACAGAATTATACATGTAAAAATGATTGGATTGGCAAATATTTTGTTTCTAGATTTTGTCACGAATAGAGGTGGTTTCCAAAAGTCTGAAACAAATTTATCTTCTCATTCCCACTATCCATGAACTTTCGAAGCACCCTTGTGTGTTTGTATGCATGTGTACATGTATGTACATACTGTACCATACTTCCAAAATACAAAATGCCCAATAAATGTGCTCTACTTAAAGCTAAGTATTCTTCATACTCTAAAATTATTTACTTTTACTTATCAAACTGCAATCTAGTTATAGATTCTTCTATCTTTGATTTGTGGAGTCAAACAAGCAGCAGACAATACAGTTAAACTAGAAACATCTTGGAAGATAATGTAGGAACCACGTGAGGGGATTGAATTTACAGGAAGGCTAGCCTATTAAATGAAACTGAAAGTGTACTAACAATTTAATTTAAATAACTGAGACCTCCTGAGAATGAAATACTTCTGCTCATCAAAATACTTTACCCCAAAAATAAAACCTACAGACCGGGGCGTGGGGTGGAGTTGGATACTCAGACAATGACTTACTCGACAAGGGTCTAATTTCTAAAATATATAGAAAACGTCAACATCTCAACATCAGAAATACAACCTAATTTTTAAAATGGGCAAAAGGACATGAGCAGGACTGCACCAAGTAGGCCAACAAATATGTGAAAAAATGCTCATGATTATTAATCATTATAAAGATATAAATGAAAACTATAATTAGATACCATCGCACCTGGGGAAACATGTCAATGATTTAAACATTGTATCAATAACACAACAAAACTAGAAAGCAGCAAATGCCGGGAAGACTGTGGGGAGATTGGGACCCTTATACATTTTTGGTGAGATTGTAAAATGGTAGTTCTACTATTGAAAGCAGTATGTTGCTTCTTCAAAAAGTTATTAATAGAAATATATATTATCCAACAATTCTAATTCTAGGTATGTCCGCAAAAGATTGAAGATCAGTGACAAGAATACATACGTGCAGTTGTGTTCATTATTGCACTATTCACAGTAGCAAAAAGGATGAAACAGCCTAAGTGCCCACCAATTTATGAATGGCTTAAACTTTATATAAATGCTATGTTATTATAAAGAAAAATGACTCTATAAAGTATCTTAAAACAGGTGAATCTGTAAAACATGCTTGGTAAAATAAGTCAGTCACAAAAGGACAAATATTGTATGGACCCACTACTATATACATTTAGACCTAGGTACACACATGGAAAGAAATGTTCTTTCATTTCTTTCACCAGTTATGAGGGCAAGGCATGGTGAATCACTATTTAGATTTAGACATGTGTGCTTTGGGGTGATAGAAGGGACAATACCAAATAGAGGTCAGTGTTATGCAGATTGATCAAAGTAAATGAATATACTAAGAGATATACAAGAAAAAGGAACACTTTTTTTCCCCAGAAATACTGTACCACATTGAATTTTGCAACAGTAATAGCAACCAGAAAACATATATGTAGATACAGAGGTACAACTGTATGATTGTTTGCCCATCAGAAGACATACATTGATGTGTTAAGTGTAGGTGAATCTCTTGAAAAGCCCAGAGTTGATTCTGACTCACAACAATCCTATAGGACCGAATACAACCGCCCAACATGGTTTTCAAGGCTGTAAATCTTCACTGAAGCAAATCACCACAGCTTTCTCCCTTTGGGAGGCTGGTGGGTTCAAACCATTGACCTTTTGATTAGCAACGAGATGCTTAGCCACTGCAACACCAAGATCCTGTGTAATTATATGGAGAAAGTGTATCAGGGCTGTGGAGAGATCCCTATCTGACTTCTGGCTTCCCTGTTGCCACGAGGCAGAGGTCAGCTAATTTCCACACTCCAACTTTCTTTATTCTGA